TTGAACCCTCCTACCATTTTTTGTATACAATGATAAAGATTAAACACATAACCTAATATAAATTATCTAAATTCCTCCCACCACTAAATCAATCTAGTAGCTTGGGAACCTGTTAGGGAACGCAAACCCTAAAACGTGATCTCAGTCACAAAACAGAGAAACAGAGGAAAAACAAAGAAGAAGAACGAAAACTGATTTGTATATTTTTCTGAATGAAGTTTCCAGTTACAACAGCTGATACTATATACTCATGACAGCAAGCTACATCTTGTAACCACCAAGGCCACGTCATCAATTACAATTATAAAGACTAACATGTATAACCGACTGTAACTTCTCTGTTACATTTCTATTAACATCACAATAACTAATCTTTATAATGTATTGTAACCACCCACTATATTCCTAATGAATATTTATCACAAAATCTTTTACCCAACCAGGGGCTCCACTTCTCCTCTTCGTATCAGAACCCTCCTACCATTGGTTTTAAGACTTCTTCCAAAATATTTATTTCATTTTTTAAGACTTTATATTTGATAGTAAGAATTCAAAACTGCCTGTCAATAATGCTGAGAGTCATAAAGAAAGAAAACTTATCCTTCGAAAATTCATTCATATTAGAATTGGTTAAAATATATAAAATATGCTAATCTATCGATGAAGATAAATATAATTTTTAAAAATAAGAAAAGGGCAATGTAGTTTAAATTGTGAGAATATAATGTACCCTTAATTTTAAATAATACATATGAAAATGGGTTTGTAATACTACTCAAATTTTAACCTCAAAACAAATTGATTTTCTCTTGAAATATCATTTTATTTTATTTTATTTTTTAAAATAAGTATATAGCTGTATCAATTCGAGTACGATAAAGGTCAAATTTTTTTTCCAAAATACTTTTTGAAGGATTGAACTTTGGACTCCATTGGGTCTTGAAATATCATTTCATTGTGTGCACTAATCGTCCCAAATTCCTTCTCTGTTTACCTCGCGACTCGCGAATGATAGTGGTTGAAACAATATTGTTATTGACTAGTAACTAATTGAAACAGCGAAGGTCTTCGTATTTTACAAGTAGACGAACAGTTCAAATTACAGTAGATTTCAGCAAAGATAATTGGAGGGAAAGCCGCTTAGCTTATTTTAATAAAAAGTTTGTCACGTTATAAATGTGATTACAAAGGAAAAAGTGAATTACTTCGCTTTTTCTACGATAATTTATTTATATTGAGTCTAAAATGACATCATTTTGAGACGAAAATCAAGATATTTTTATAATTATAATTTATTTCAAAGTTATAATAGTCTTTTTAATTATAATTTTTTAATTCTTCAATCCAAAACGACGTCGTTTTGGGAGTGAATGTAAATAACTTATCTACATTCACTTTAGAAATATTAAAATCTTACTTTTATATTGAAAAATGTTGGGATGAAAAATTTCAAACAAAATGTTATCAATATAAAATTTAATATTTTTATTATCATAATATTCAATTAATCTGAATTTTTTTCTCTCATGAAGATTTAATTTAGGCATGGATTCTTTCATTTGGAAGTATATTTAATAATAAGCTAAAATTCAAAACATTAAACTCCACATTTCATATCAAAATTACAAGAATATTGATATGTTTGACAGTTTGGTATGATATCTGTTTTCCTCTAGAGATATATTATCTCAATGTAACAATGATTGAATAGAACAATAATATGAAATCTGTCACCGTGTAAAGTCTCAGGACCCTGAGAATCAGGGGAAGATGAAGGGCACAATTGGTTATACGAGGCAATAATCCAATAAAATTTCAACAATTGAGAACAATGTGTAGACGGTGACTCATTGATGGAGAAGTGAGATAAGAAGGTTTGAGCATAATCATTTTCTTGTATGTACGTTACTCTGTTGTGAGACACCGCACCCTTAATATATGTCAGGCGTATGTGCTCGAAAGAGAAAATATTTATCTGACTTCAGGCCTTCAGGGTATAGGTGTTAGACTTTCATATTGGTCATGTTATTTGATTACAATCACTCATTCAAAAGTACATTTTTCTCTCTTTTATCTCATCATCAATAAGTGAATGTGATCAAAAGTGATCATGTCGGCAAATTATATGAAATCACACTTTTATTTTTTTCCAATTTTTTTAATTATAATTATAGGTTGAAACATAAAGAAATATTTTTATGTTCAAACATGGTTGTTGGAAAAATATGAAAAATGTTTATATAATCCCAATTTTTTGGCAGTTTCAACTTTTAAATACCGATGGTGGTAACAGTAATGATCAATATTAAATGGTGGTAACTCAGTTGGTAGCAACTAACAAGGGAACTGAGTAAATGAAAAAAAAAATCTCGATTTGATTCCCACATATCACCTTTAGGAAGAGGGGTTTAAATATCTCCATACATAACCCGTATCGTATTTCGGATTAATCTTATCTTTGACTTAAAAAATTAAAATTTACGAAAATACAAGAGAGTCAATTCGCCTCAAAAAAATAATTAAGATTGTGTTAAAAAAATAAAAAATAATGATGAACATTAGCTTTTATATAGAGCCTGTTTGTTTTCTCTTCTAAAAAAAATAACTTTTATCTCTTCCTTATTTAATAAGTCATTTTTACAAAAGTTAAAGCTATTTATATTTTTATAAAAATATTTAGTTTTTAAAAAAAATATTTGGTTTTTGACTTCTGCTTTTTTTAGAAGTTAAAATTTTTAGCTTCTGAAAAAGTAGGTTTTTGAATTTTTTTGTGACTTTTGTTTTTTTTAAAAGCAAATATCCAAATGAACTAAAAATGAGAAGTGATTTTTTCAAGAAAAAATAAGCTTTTAGAAAAAAAAATCCATCCAAACAGACGCATTGCATAATGGTCAACTGCCGAGGTTTGCTTGAACTCCTTCAAACCTGCTCTTGGGTTTTGCAAAGTGACACCTAAAAAATGTTCCTAGCCAAGAATCATATCCTTATTAATCATCCATTTAATACATAATATTAAAGAATATTGTACTTACATGAATGATTTAAACTTTAATATATACCTGACAAATATAACATAGAATTGTTATTTTCGCTTGTTTTTCTTTTTCATTAAAGTCCAATTAGACCTAATAGGTAAGAAGAGTCTAAGAAACTTAAAGACCTTTTAGTTTAAGATTACGTTTTTTTTTGGAACCCATATATATATATATATATATATATATATATATATATTCTACAATTATAATCATCCATCTTAGTCCAATTAAACTTAATATGTAAGAAGAGGCTAAGAAACCTAGAATTCACACTTATAACTTATAGTCACCAGTCTTAAGTGAAAGAATATCCACTCACCACTCATACCCCTCTAAGATATAGTGTGAAAGGTCTACACAGACCAACCTCCATGTGCTGTGTGCACAAGAGATCAATTTATGAGGAGGAATCAAACATAAGAAGATAATGCTCTAAACGATTCCGCAGATCCAATTTCATCTACAATTTATCTAATATTTTCTTTCTTACACGTTAATGATTCACTATGGTTTTCAACTTCTCTCCTTTGTGCTGTAGGGCAAAGACGCCAATAAGGGTGAACACAACTAGTTAAGAATTTGGCTCATATTTCATAAGAGTATGAATTTGAATCCAGCTAGTCCATGTAAGAATATTATTGATAAAATTTCTCTAAAAAATTTTAAAAAAATAAAATAAAATTGAGGGGTTTACGCATTATGTAATCGCACCTCAACTTTTTTATTAAAAAAATAAGTAGGGCAAAGACGCGCAGCGAAACAAAACCATGTGATTGGCGCAAAATACAGAACCGTGAGCTGACGTGGAACGTCGCTTTCAGGGAGAGCTTCCCACTCCAGGGGACACTAAAAACAAGTGGGTGGTGATGACCTAATCATTTCGTGCCACCTCTTCTTATCAAAGTGACCTCTATTCTTGCCATTCCCTTCCCTCTAATTTACCACTTTGCATTTTTTTTTAATGCTCCCCAACTACTTCGCCCCTTCACTTGTTTTGTCCCTCACAATATTGTCCCTAATAAGTTCCCAATCTTTTACACCCCTATGCCAAAATTCCAGTCCAACTTTTGTTTCTTGTTGCCTCCAATGAGGTAAATTGGAATATGGATGCAATCAGTGTCCGAGTTTTTAATGGATTCTACTGATTTGGTTTTAGGTTTGAATTTTTTAATTTTTTTCTAAGAGTTAGATTTTCAAGAATTATATTTATTACCCTTTAAACATTTAGGTATGTCAAATTCTAAGATTTAGCTGAAAGAGTAAACCAATTTGTGAGATTGAGGTCTCATTTTAACATATTCATAATTTGAACAATAAATTAAGGTAAAAAAATATAAAAAAAATTCATAATTTCTCACTTTCATAATATAAAATAACATTTAGGTGGTATCCTTCTCACTTGATTTGTGTGTATCAATTCAGGATTGGAGTGGGAAGAAGAAAAAGTTAATAACACCTTGAGAGGTTCTAATCATGAGTACTTTATCTGTCTACCTAGTCTTTGGAGTCTCGGTCCTCCCGTGGCAATTTCGATAAAGTACGGGGTATCTAATGCGATTCTGCAGAAAAAAAGGCTGATGCTAATTTTTGAAATTTTTGGTTCCATGGAGGGGTACTTTTGTCCATAGAAAATACAGCAAAACAAACACACACGCACAGAACTAGCGTGTACAAGTTGTCTACTGACATGAGCGGATAGGGATGTGTGTGAAACACAAAGCCAAAGAAAGTTGAGAAAAGCTGTGATTTCTGCTGAGTGGAACTATGCCTTTTTTACCCTCTTTATTATTATATCATGCTAGAAATTCTATAATATTATTTTTTATATATCAATGATCATTTCATTAAAATAATATTTATTGCTAGATTGCTTTCTCAATAGTTTTTTGAGTGGATAGATTGGAAAGAGAGATAATAATAATAATGATAATGTTGGAAAACATTTTTGCTATAACATATTCTTATCATCTTTCTTTAGCAAATTCTCGAATCTCAACTCGATGAACTCATTCTTTTAAGCCTTTCCAGCCTCATATCCTTCTTTTTATTGTCTTTTTAAAGTGTGCTGGTGGGAACCAAACCTTGAACACTCACGTGCTTAAGTTGTTGTTGTTTGGTTTTAGTTTTAGTACCCTGTAGTGCAAGCTAGATTTTCTTTGTTGAGTGATATTAAAAAATGGAATCTTTTGTAGGTTTAGTTATGGCCCCTCCTTTTGTCCTGCGTCTTGGTTCGTAGCTGTTAGCTGACAAGATGATAAGAAGTATCAATTTCTGTTTAGAATTAGAAACCCAGAATCTTGTGATTCTTTTATTCTTTTTAGTGTATTTCAATTTCTATCTGCCTCAAATCTAAGTGTTCATTGGCATTTCTGAATTTTAAGCTATTGGGGTAGATAAGACAGCATCTTATCAAGGTCACATCTTTTATTATTATTTTTCTTTTCTTTCTTTCCCTGGAACCTACTTATTTTTAGGAATTGGGAGGTGTTTGTGTTATTCTTCTTCATATCTTGAATTTCCTTCTATCACAAGTCCAGAACTTTTACTGTTTAGGTGTTAGCCTTGTGGAGATTCTGTGGATTTGACAATTGTTCTGTCACGTTAGCCTACCTGGAATCACCTAGAGTTTACATCCACTACCACTTGGAACTGTTTCTACTTGTGTTGGTTACTGTTGTGGATGAGTTTGCTCCATGTTGTTGGGTTTGGTCTAAAAGTGGGGCATCTACTTTTGGTGCTATGTTGCTGGTTTGGATCTGTCGTTTACCTTAACCGTTTCAGTAGCAGTGGAATTATGGACACCAAGATGGGTTTTCTGGGTGATGTTGGCAAGATATGGCTCAAATGTTGGGAGAAGATATCAGGGAATGGTTGCAAAATGTATATTGGGTCCAAGATAGTGAAGAGAGCGTTGTGGAGAAAGCTTTTGCTGACATGGGTATTGGGTTGGACTATAGCATCTTTGTGGATCTTCTGCTGTATAAGCTTACAAGCTACAGAGAAGAGGAAAGAAACTCTGGCAAGCATGTGTGATGAAAGGGCTAGGATGTTGCAGGATCAGTTTAATGTGAGTATGAACCATATCCAAGCCATGTCTATTCTGATCTCAACCTTCCACCATGCCAAGAGCCCCTCTGCCATCGATCAGGTACTAAGCTTTATTTGCTATATATATATATATATATATACCCTTGCAAGTTAGGACGTAATTTGTCACTGTAAATGAGTAATTGCGTTGGCTTACCTTTTACTTTGAGTCTTCATTTGTTATGCACCAAAATATCTTATAATCTTATTTGCTTGATTCGGGGTGGGGGTGGGGGTTCTCAGTTATTTCATTGCCGTTAATTTTAGTGTCTAATTGCATTTCTTCCCTTTTTTTTTTGGTGGTGATACTATTAGGGTCTTAATATCTTTTCTACTGAGAAGGTCACTGAAATTGAGATGCTGGAACAGGAACCTGATTTCCTTTTAATATCTTTTTACCCCTTTCTTGTTTGATAGAAAGGATCCCAATTTCTTTTAACCTGAGATCATTAGTCTCATCCCTACAAATCAATCTAACTTCTTAAACTTGCAGGGAACTTTTGCCAGGTACACAGAAAGAACAGCTTTTGAGAGGCCTCTTACAAGTGGTGTTGCATATGCTGTAAGGGTGCTCCATTCTGAAAGGGAACAATTTGAGAAACAACAAGGCTGGACTATTAAGAGGATGGATACTCTGGAGCAGAACCCGGTGCATAAGGATGATTACGCCCCAGAGGCATTGGAGCCATCCCCCATTCAGGAAGAATATGCCCCTGTCATCTTTGCACAGGATACAATTTCCCATGTGATTTCTGTTGACATGCTTTCTGGAAAGGTAGGTTTCGGTAATAGTTTCTTGTAAAGTTTTATGTGGAACACTAAATTTGTCAGCTGAATTGGTACACCTCGCGGATATGTGAACCATATATAGTTAATTATGAAAATTGTGAAAATGCTATACAATAGCTTTAGATGTCCTGGTGGTAATTTTGATCCATCCATTCTAAGCTCTAGCTTCCTGTTAATGTGGTTTTTGATTGGCCTTTTAGTGGTCATTCGTTATGCTTTGGGGAAATATTTTTGAAGGAAAAACTGCTTATTCTTCCAGATTGTTGTGTTTTTTTACTCCCTTGATCTTCCTTTTTCTTACTTGTCCATATGGGACTGCTCCTAATGGAGAATAGTATATATGAAGTCTATAATTTTGTGGATATTACACAGCGAAACTGAGACAGTTTGTTTTAAATATATGATAATTTATCTGGAATTGTGGCTCATCAACAGGAAGACCGTGAAAATGTGTTGCGTGCAAGAGAGTCAGGCAAAGGGGTTTTAACTGCGCCCTTCAGGCTGCTCAAATCGAATCGTCTAGGGGTTATCCTGACATTTGCTGTCTACAAGAGAGATCTTCCACCAAGTGCAACACCAAATGAAAGGATTCAAGCAACTGATGGGTGTGCATAAATTTTTGAATTTGTTGCATTTGAATTTCCGTTAGCTATTATTATTTTTTTCATTTTTCATTTTTTTTAAATTACCATTCATATAACTTAGCTCATTCCCTTTTGGTTATCTGATGTTCTGAAGTAACTAGACTACTGAGCAACTAAACACTTCATTCGAATTTGGTGGAAAAGATTCAGTAACACAATTAATTAACAAGGGTGGACAATAAACTCTCTTTCCCTGTGGTAAATAAAAGTTTTGAAGTTACTAATATACTCTGAAATTCAATACTGCATGTAATTTCAGGAGAAAAAAAAATCATGAGAACAGTTAATGTAAGAGAGTAGCATTTTAATGTCTTCATCACTGCTATGCAGGTATCTTGGTGGGGTCTTTGATGTTGAGTCATTAGTGGAGAAATTACTTCAGCAACTTGCTAGCAAGCAATCTGTTATTGTTAATGTGTATGATACTACAAATCATACTCATCCAATTGGCATGTACGGCTCAAATGTATCAGGGGATGTTTTCTATCATGTCAGCACTCTGAACTTTGGAGACCCTTTCAGGAAGCATGAGATGTACTGCAGGTAAGAGTAATGCTGCAGAAGGAGTTTGATATCTCTGTCCTCCTTAGTGCTGAGCATAGTTTATAAGAATAACACTATCATCTAAAAATAGGCATAAGATATTCTATTTAATACAAGGTTATTTAATATTATAAGATATAATACTTTATTAATTTTACAATCTTGTAGTTTTTTGCTGTTAGCAATACCTAGTTTATATTTCTTTTATCTGGAGTTGTCACACTTGTTCTGGTGTCATCGAGTCTAACTTATTTTATTATTACATAACAATGATTATAATGTGAAAATGGTCGAAGACTTGAACAGTTTATGAAATTTATGTTTGATGCTGACAGGTTCAAACAGAAACCACCTTGGCCATGGTTGGCAATAACTACTTCAATTGGCGTCCTTGTTATTGCACTCCTTGTTGGACACATTTTCCATGCCACCGTGAATCGAATTGCCAAAGTAGAAGATGATTACCGTGAGATGATGGAGCTTAAGAAACGAGCTGAGGCAGCTGATGTTGCAAAATCTCAGGTATTTAATTTTTTATTTATTTGCTTTTTAACTTCTTGTTTTGGTTTAACTTGTACTGATCACGGGGACATATTCAATTATATTTGCAGTTTCTTGCTACTGTTTCCCATGAGATCAGGACACCAATGAATGGGGTTTTAGGTAAGTTAGCTTCTATCTGTGGTTTACTATACAGTGTCCCATGTTTAACTATATAAATTCCACAGAAAGAAGAGCTTCTTCAGCCATGACGACCTTGCTGTAAATTGGATTTTCAGGGATGTTGCATATGCTTATGGACACAGATCTAGATGTCACCCAACAGGAATATGTCAGAACGGCGCAGGACAGTGGAAAAGCTCTGGTGTCCCTTATAAACGAGGTTTTGGACCAGGCAAAGATTGAATTTGGTAAGCTAGAACTTGAGGCAGTGCTCTTTGACTTACGGGCAATTTTGGATGATGTATTGTCACTATTTTCCGAGAAGTCTCAGGGAAAAGGAGTAGAGGTACTATATCTCTCGTCTCCTGTTGCCCTTTTATCATGGTGGAATTTTCAAAATGTGTATTGTCTAATTATAGCTCATGGCTTTTCTTGATTTATTTTTTTGGGAAGCGCAGTTGGCAGTTTACGTGTCAGATCAGGTTCCTGAGCGGCTAATAGGCGATCCGGGAAGGTTTCGACAAATAATTACAAATCTCATGGGTAACTCAATTAAGGTAAGTCAATGGTAAAAAGAAGATTGTTCGGAATAATGAAACTTACTTAGTCTGATATCCTACTGTATCATGAAAGTTACTTAAATCTTCCCTTGTCCTAGTATCTTGCCTTATAGGCATGCTTCTTTCCTTACAATCTTGTGGAATATTTTGGATAATGGAAAAAAGAAAAAAACTTCTATAAGTGTTCCAGCCAATAATGTCTACTAGTAGAGCAAAATTGATTTGTATTTCTAGAATAATTTATATCATGAAAACTGATTCTGTAATTGTTTTGCAGTTCACAGACAAAGGGCATATTTTTGTCAATGTCCATCTTGTTGAGGAGGTTGTCCATTCAATAGAGGTTGACAAGGAATCAAACTCAGAAAACACCTTGAGTGGTTCCCCAGTTGCTAATAATCGCCGGAGCTGGGAAGGGTTCGAGGCTTTCAGTCAAGAGGGACCTCTCGGCTCTTTCTCATCCTCCTCCAATGATCTCATCAATTTGATTGTATCTGTTGAGGATACAGGTGAAGGTATTCCTCTAGATGCCCAATCCCTCATCTTCACTCCATTCATGCAGGTAGGTTCATCCATCTCCCGAAAACATGGGGGAACAGGTATTGGCCTAAGTATTAGCAAATGTTTGGTTGGCCTCATGAATGGAGAAATTGGATTTGTGAGTATACCTAAGATTGGTTCCACTTTCACTTTTACCGCTGTCTTCACCAATGGACTCCCCAGTTCAAATGAATGTAAAGTTCAGCTAAACAACAACCAACCTCAATCTGCATCTTCAGAATTTGAAGGGATGACTGCATTAATCATTGACCCGAGACCTGTTAGAGCGAAAGTTTCTAGATACCACATCCAAAGGCTTGGAATTCACGCCGAAATGGTTTCAGATTTAAACCAAGGTCAGTCAACCATAAGCAGTGGGAATCTAGTTATTAATATGGTCCTGATTGAGCAGGAGGTATGGGATAGAGATTCAGGCATGTCATCCCACTTTGTTAATAACACAAGGAAAGTTGATCATGGGGTTCCTCCAAAGCTGTTCATTCTTGTTAACTCTAGTAGTTCTCTTAAAGCAAGTAGTGTAACCTCAGGTGTTCATAATCCTACTGTCATCACGAAACCTCTAAGAGCAAGTATGCTTGCTGCCTCACTTCAACGAACCATGGGTGTTCAGAACAAGGGAACTCGCAACAGGGAGCTGCAAAGTTTGTCTCTTCGCCATCTTCTTCTTGGGAGGAAAATTCTAATTGTAGATGACAATAGTGTGAACCGCAAAGTTGCAGCTGGTGCTTTGAAAAAGTATGGAGCAGATGTGGTTTGTGTTAGCAGTGGAAAAGAAGCCATCTCTTCACTGAAGCCACCCCATCAGTTCGATGCCTGTTTCATGGATATTCAAATGCCAGAAATGGATGGGTATGCAACAGGAATACTATCTTCTAAAATTTGATAATTTATATTTTGGAATTAAATTTAAAATTTCTACACAAACAAGGAGAAGAGTTTTCAAATTCTTTTATTAATCTAGTAGAATCATTGAAAAATATTTTTCAGGACAGTTTACATGGAAGGAAGACTTCTAGCATTACATAGATTTGTGAAACAATCTAATGTTCCATAAAGCACTCAAGGGGTTTGGACTTTAACTTCTTGCCCCAGCAATACCACAATTCATTTGAAAATTCTAAACATAAAAGAAAAGTATTAATTTATGTTTACTTACTAAAAATGCAATTTTCATCGTGTTATAAGTTGTTAATATACAGTTCTTTTCCAACAGTTTTGAAGCTACAAAGAGAATCAGAGAAATGGAACATAGTGTGAACATAGAAGTGTCTATGGATGACTTTGAGGTTATTTCAAATTATCACGTGCCCATTTTAGCCATGACTGCAGATGTGATCCAGGCTACACAGGAGGAATGCCTAAGGTGTGGCATGGATGGATATGTTTCAAAACCATTTGAAGCTGAACAGCTTTATAGAGAAGTTTCACGGTTTTTCCAGTCATCTTGAAAAGAAAAAATACAGTGCTGATCTAAACTAGAGGATTATTGATCACAGAAGCTTTCATGGCTGTTCTCCAGGACACTCTGAAGTGGATAAAATAAGTTAAAAAAGTCTCCTGAGAGTAAGTTCCTTATTTAACAGCCAGTTCATGGTTTAGTATTTCTCCATTTGAAAAGTCTGATGGTTTTTCATAGACTGAAGAATCTTATCTTTCTCATTAGAAAGAAAAAGAAGGGATACAAGGGACAAAAAAAAAAAGTTGTAGAAATGCAGAAATGGTTCATACTACCTTTTTGACCTATGTCATTGTCTTTTGTACTGTGTTTGAAGGTCCCTGGTTTGAAATATTGTTTTTTTTGTGTGTGTGTGTGTGGCAGGGAGTGTACATAGGAGCCTAGTTTGATTGGTTGCAATTGAGTTGTAATTAGTTGTTAAAAGGGTATCAAAACCCGTTGATTCTTCCATGTAAAGTGATTCTCTCAACTCATCCACGGTGACTGCCAATTGGAAATGATTGGAGGGGGTTGGGTTTAAAGGCTAGGATTTATTATAGTACAAGTTCTGGAGTCTCATCCGTGTTGTATATGTAATAATACAACTTAACAGTATTCTAGACTAGGCACGTTACATTTTCTGGGTATTGATGCATGTATCATTAAGAGGTTGATTCTGATGAAAGAAAGGAAATTAACTTCTTGGCAACAAAGGCAAGGAAGTGCACCATTAGCCATGTATATGACTCACAATAAAGATGGTGATTGATTCGCTTCCTTTTTGTTCTTGATCAGTGTTCGGAATTAGGCTTTCAAACATGTAACTGATACATTATCAATGTAGTATTTGAGTGATCCGAACAATTTTTTGGCCGATTTGTATATTTCCAGTTCTGGATTTCCTATGATCTTTGCCGTGACATGTCATGAAATGATTCTTTTGATTTGGATCTCTTAAGTAAATTTAGAAGCCGAAGATGTCAAAATTTGATGTCGAGTGATACTCGAAAGTTGCTACGATGTAAGTTAAATGGTACCGAGTTTGTTGTTCATTGTACTTTGGTGTTAATCGTTTCTAGTTATAAACGCTAAATTATTATAGTTCCTGGACGCGATATATCCATTTAAAGATGATGAAAATCGCACCTATATCTCATAATTCTTCGTATGAAGGTGAAACTTGCTTTCAATTATTTGCCGGGCATGGTAGATTTATCTACATGTACAAATTATTTAATCTATAAGTAAGTTTTTAGAACCCAAACGAGCATCTGAGTCGATATGTCCGAGTGGTTAAGGAGACAGACTTGAAATCTGTTGGGCTTCGCCCGCGCAGGTTCGAACCCTGCTGTCGACGTATTTTTATTTTAACATGTTTTTTTTTAGTACAATTTTTAACATGTTTTCAACCTTTTTGTAATTTACTATAGAAAGAATTATATATGTATGTGCATGTACTAGTAAAGAGAGAATCATGCCATGCGTATTTATCTTATTAAAGAAAGAATCGTGTATATTGTGTAAATATTACTTCAATTATTTATAAATATTATGATTTTTTTATGACAATATTTTTATATTCTTTAAAATTCTATCTGATATTCTTTTGTAAATATTGACACTAATAAAATTTTGCTTCCTTTTTAAATTGTTATTATATTTAAGTATTTTTTTTAATACCACCTCTCGATTCGTTGATAAAATAAAACCAATGAAATGAGAAAAGATTCATAAGTCAAATTTTTTTATTTAAATTATTTGATTCGTCAAGTGTGCTTTTTTTACCAACTCATGATTAATTTGTTTTTTTTTAGAACTCACACGCTGCCTTCTAATATAAATTCACACTCCCAAAAAACGAGGGAAAAAATAGATTTAATTTTGAAAAAACGCATGTACAATTATTAAAAAAATTGAGAGTAGTTTGGATGGTTTTTAGTTAAAAGTTATTTTTTTCAGAAAAAATAACATTTCTACTATAAATTTGTTTGGATATCTGTTACTTTTTTTAAAAATAGAAATTAAAAATTTGTTTTTTTTAAAACAAAATTTTATTTTCTTAAAAAAAGTAGAAAATAAATTTTTTCAAAACTCTAATATTTTTTTTAAAATTTTAATTTTTATAAAAAATATTTCTAAAACAAGCAAAATATAATATATATTTTTTAAAACCCACCCAAACGAATGTAAATTAAATTAAATACTATACCATACCGTGAACATACATGTATATAGGTTATTAGAGAGAGAGAGAGAGAGAGAGAGAGAGAGAGAGAGGAGAGATGGATCCAGACGCGTTGGCAAAGGCATTTGTGGAGCACTACTACAGCACCTTCGACGGCAACCGTGGTGGATTGGCGAATCTCTACCAGGAAGGTTCTATGCTCACATTCGAGGGTCAGAAGATCCAAGGTTCTCCCAGCATCGTCGCCAAGCTCACTTCCCTTCCTTTTCAGCAGTGCCACCACTCCATCACCACCGTCGACTGCCAACCCTCCGGCATCAACGGCGGCATGCTCGTCTTCGTCAGCGGTAACCTCCAGCTCGCCGGCGAGCAGCACGCCCTCAAGTTCAGCCAGGTATATATATATATTTATCATCTATTATTTAGGGTTTTTCTTCTTCTTCTTTTGCTTCATTCATTCGCCTCCGATCCATCGCTTTCTTATTATTATTATTTTTACTTTGAGGAGATTTTTAGGTTTTTTTATTTTATTTTTTCTTCTCTTGGATGATCGGTGTTGATGAGTAGTGTTTTTGTGGTAGATTTCGGCTTTGGATTTTGAATGGATCTGAGTTCCTTTAAATAGTAGTTTTTTTTTTGTCGCTTTTTATTTTATTTTATTCATTATGGTTCTGCGTTAAATTACTGTGATGCAGCCTCGAGTGTTAATTAAAACCCTTTGATTTTGGGTGACATTCTTGTTACGTGACCCTTTTTTCGTGGCTGTGTTCTATGATATTGATGTGTATTTTTGGTTTGAATGTGATTGACATTTCTATGCTGACTTTACTGAAGGACGTTTTGGCCCTGCTACTTTATAGTTTGTGCTGGCTGATTTGGCTCCTAGAGATGAGGTTGGCTTTAGAGAGTGACGTGAGCTTTGATTAGCATGCATTTCATCTAAAAATGTCAATTTGTACCTCGGGAAGAGCTGAATCATTAATCGTAAGGGGATTTAATAATTAATACTATAGACATCCAAATGAATCTATGATGATGAGAAGGGGTAAGATGGAGGATGAACTGGGAATGTTATGAAATGATAGTAATTGCTTAAATTGCCAGTTGTTCAAAGAAAATGGCCTGTCCGTGATTGAGAATCTAGGGCAACTGCCACCAAGGTATGTTTAGAGTATAGGGTGGAAAAATGATTATCCATGAATCCATTATCAATCCATCTATTTTAATAATTTTAATAGGCTGTATTAATTGGATTAAGTTATTTTTTTGGATGATTATGGATTGTACAGAATATCCGTAGGATATTCAAAGGCAACTCGGCCTCTGTACTCCCCATTTTGTCCTGCATCACTCTCTCATCCTGTTACTCAATACCACTTTCTCTTGCTGGCAGCATGTCTTCAACTATGCTGTCTAGACAACAATGGCAAGTCCTTTAAGCTCAAAATATTTTGATGTGTTGGCAATGCTTCATGATCTCAACCTCCCATCTCATCAATGGCTGTTCTTGGCTTTTCTTTATCGTTTCTCGGGTAGGTAATTCAAAATTCCCCTCTTCCTTGCTTGCGGCCTAGCTGGAATCTTAGCTCAATTTCAGGGCTTGTGGGATCCTTCAAAATAGATCTTGTTTCCCCCATTGCCACTATAGTTGACGTAATGCTATCGTCAATTGCTGACAAGTCTGCTTCTTACCATTCTTCTCACAAGGTCCCATTGGAGTTGCATAATAATTACACAAGAAGATGAATTTTCAATCTCTATAAGCGGGAAGCATTCCACCCTGACCTCTGGAAGTGGGCGGGATAGTTAATGGGTATTCCCAGTTCAAGATCCAGCTTCAAATCTCACTCTCTATACCAAAAATATTTCCCGAAAAAGAAGGAAAGCAATGATCCTTACCAGAACTTGGAAGCTGGTAGCTTTGTGAAGTTAATGTGGAAGCTAAGCAACATTCATTACCAGCAGGAGACCTGCAAGGTTGCGACTAGGGGTGCAAATGAATCTAGGTAAGCCAGGCTTTAATCTAAATGGGTTAGGCCTATATAAAATATTTCAAGCCTGACTTGGCTTGTTAGCCTGATATAAGTTAAATTATGTTAAGAACCTTGGGATACACCACCCCAAAAGTTAGCTCAAGGGGTGAGAGTGCCTAAGGCCTTATAAAGACCATATTAGTTGGTCATCCAATCAATGTGGGACTATATATCTCAACACATCCCCTCACGCTAGAGCCCTTTAGGCTAGAAGCGTGGAAATTGCACAGGCCCATTTTTGGTTTACCTTTTTGTGCTTTTTGTTTTTTTATTTTAATTCCACTTTTTAAAGTGGGGGACGGTGAGGCTTTGATACCATGTTAAGAACCTTGGGATACACCACCCCAAAAGCTAGCTTAAGGGGTGGGAGTGCCTAAGGCCTTATAAAGACCATATTAGTTGGTCATCCAATCAATGTGGGACTATATATCTCAACAAATTATAAGTTTGGCTTGACTTGTTTTTAAAAAAATACAAGGCTTGACTTGGCCTATCAAGCCTTAAAAAATGGCATATTGAACTCTGTAAAATATAGGTTATGATTATTTTGTATGTTTAAGTTGATGGAAAGTCAAAATAGTATCATAGCCGAAGCCACACCAAAATTCAAAATATTATTTTAGAATAAATACCATTTTTGGTCCTCAACAAAAATTTCGGAACCTATTTTAAGCACTTAGAAAAAAAAGTACCCATATTAGTCGCTTTAGGGACTAAAAAGGGTATTATCTGAATTTCAGAGGGACCACAATTTCAAAGAATTGGAATTTCAGAGGGACCACAAGTCGACTTTTTTTTTTCTCATGGATTAAATTGGGCTCCTTGTTTTTTCTTGAGGACCAAAAAAGGTATGTACGCATTATTTTATTAAAAAATAATAAAATATTTATTTAAAAATCCAGGCCAAGCCTGAAGGCTTAGAGGTCAGGCCTTTTAAAATAGGCTTGTGGCCCGATTTTTAAAAAGACCTTTTAATGAGCTCAAGCCTATGCTATTTTCAAAACTAGCCAAGCCAGACTATAAGCCTCTTACAAGCTGTTTGGCTCATTTGCACACCTAGCTGCGACCATCCTCTTCCTCGAGAACTAGTTCTGTCTTTATATTTAATTTCTACTATTTTAGTTCTGACTCCTGAGATGTAAGTAGTTCTTGTCTTTTTTTCTAATTCTCTCTTAATAAGTTTAAGGAGCTTAAAACAGTTAAAAAAAAGGTTAATATAATAATAATAGGTGGATTGAATATTTATGTGTTAGAATGATTAATTGATTGGTGGGGTATCCATCTATTAAATGGGTCATGGATGAATAGAGTTTTCTTATTAACCTTTTTAGTAGATCTTAAATAGACTAATCATGGTAGTCAATCGGCGCGTTGCGCTGCCCCACCGCAAGAACCTGCTCCGCGCCAAGTTGAAACACCATTGTGGCCAAATAACGCCATTTGCAGACCCTAACCCACTCCCTTACTCCCTCTTCCTGTTGCACGACGCTGCCCCCTTTCCTTTGTCATCAATATGTGAGAAACATGTGTGGGTGAGAAAGAGTGAGAAGACAAGATGCAAAATGGTGCCCATAGTCCCAAGTCAGCGGCAACAGAGTTGTCATCGGAGACTAGGTCGACAGTGAAGAGGGCAATTGCAGAGTCCTCTGCAAGAGAACCTCCGGTTATTGGAGAGAGAGAAAGAGAGAAACGACTTTTTTCACTTTTAGATGTATCCACATGTTTATTGTAGAGCAAACAAGCACCGACACACAATTTTTTCAAATTTGTGCGTGTCGGACACCGACACGCTCGGACACGTGGTCAACATTTTGGGACACGCGGTCAATGTTTCGATACGCTTTTTCGACACAGTCATCTTTTTCCGACATGCGGTCAACGTTCCGACACGTTTTTCTTTTTTTAGTCTAATTTTTTATTTTATTTATTTTTTGGTATCCGATTTTATTTTATTAACTAAACATAAAAAAATAATTTATAGAGTAAATATCATTTTTTGTCCTCAGCAAATTTCACGATGCCTGCTTTAGTCCCTAACAAATAAAAAGGCCCATCGTGGTCCCTAAGAAATTCAAAATGGACCCACTATTTGAAATCGTGGTTCCTCGCAAATTCAAAAAAGATCCATATTAGTCTTTAGGGTCCATTTTTTTTTTCTATTATTTAAATTTACAGTTTAAAATTTGTATATAATTAATAAAATCTGACAGTTAATTTTTTTTTTATAATTTTAAATTGTTAATTAAATTTTAATAGTGATTTAAATATTATTTTTTTATTTATATTATTTAATAAATATATTTGTTGCGTTACTTGTATTGAAGAATTATTTTGTTACTTTTTTATTTATATTATTTTATAAATAAATTTCTTTTTATATAATTTTTTTATTTATATTATTTTGTTCATGTTAAAAAGATTAATCAAATGCAGATCTTAGAAAGAAAGAATCCTAACATGCTACAAAAAAAAAAGTATACTTAGTTCATGTTCCATAGAGGGAGAGATAGATAAGTATATACGAAATTAATCCATGCGTGGACTAGCAAATTATAGTTTTTATGGGAAGACTTGAAATTAATCACAGTTGGGATTGAAGGACCTGTAAATTATTTGGAACAATAAAATATTATCTCATTTTCGAAAAATAATGACTACAAATGCATGTATCTATATTAGGGTAAATGGAAAATATTTTAGTTAAACCATATAATTGAAGTGATACTCATTTAATAACATATAATTGGAGCAATTATTTATTATTAATGATTGTCTTAATTTTTTTATCATATATATATGTGTGATATATCTAGGTTCTATTAATCTATTTTGCTATTTCTGCAACTGCAACCCGCTATAGCGTTACAGCATTATTCGTGGTTGGTTGCAACAGGTAGCAATCCGCTTTTAACTACTATGAGACTAATGATTTGTTTTTTGCCCGTCCTGTGTAGCTCGATGCATACATTTTGCTCCCCTAGTTTAGCGTGACTATATTCCAGTCGTGATAGATTTATGATATTGATAATGAAATTTATAACCAAAGAAAAAGGATCAAATTTCTGGTAATAGATGAAGGTGGTTTTGATTACAGACAAGATAAAGAAGGATTTCATGTGATTGCAATAATTTATGTCTTGGTGGAACTAAAAGTGTTTGTTTTTTAAAAGCTGTCACTTAAAGGTCATTTAGATTTTCTTTTTTTTATTCTTTATGGTGATGTTAATAGTTATGATGTACTCACTGTACCTTGAACTTAGGATTGTTTGCCTCGTTCTAGAGGACCTAAATCCATGATTTTGAAGGCGGGTCAAAAGTTACCTATTTACACATTAGATACCATAGCAGACTGTAGTCTTGTTTGGGGATTTGCAAAGATTTTGTTCTTTTAAGTGTTTTATATGACCAGTTGTTCCTAGGAACAGCAATCCCAAGCGGACAACAATAAAAAGGGACAGAATCTCTTGTTTTATTAACCATCTTGGTGAGAAGAAGCTGATTTATACCATTTTATCCAAAGCAAAAGTTTCAATCTCAAAATGCAGATTATGGTTTGGTTTGTTTTCATTCAATCCGTACCCCTCTCTTCATTCCTTTGTTTTTTCTGAAGTATTTTGTTGTACAAGAGAGCAGTAGCACCTGTAATGCTGGTTGAAAGAGCAGATCTAGTTCTATTTATGCATGGCAATTTTCTATTTTTAAATACTATAATCTGATTGAATACTCTCTCTAAACAGCAAAATGTAAAGTAATTTTTAAAGAAGTTACTTATAGGTAGGAAGTGGGCGTGGTAAGCCTTTGTAATTATTTTGTAACTTTGTAGTTATAGGAAAAGCAAAACTTTGGGCTTTCTAGGAAAGAAAAAAATAGAGACCAAGTAAGGTAATCTGCATACAATAGTGGTACGGAATATGGACACAGTGGTATAGAACTATATATGTTTATACCGAGAAGGTGATGTACTAATTAACTATTGGTGTCATATGTCTGTTGTCAATGTGTTTCATATCATTTCTAGATAGTGTAGATGGTCAACTGGGGGAAATGATGGGTTCTCCAAATCCTGTCATTTCACCAAAGTGGTGCCTACATGTGGATTTTTACTGGTATTTTACTTCATTAGCGTATTTTTATTAGCCCTTACGATATAGTGACAGTTTCCTGTTCTCTTATATTGGTAATAGTATATTTTCCGTTTCCTGTGTAGAAATATTTATTGTATTGCACTTTCTCTTTTTTCCCCCTTTGCTCTCCAGTCTGACTTCTCATATACTATTTTCCTAATTTCTGCTATGCTTCATAATGACTAAACTTGTCACTCTCTGTTTGCAGATGTTTCATTTGATACCGACACCACAGGGCAGCTATTATGTGTTGAATGACATATTCCGTTTGAACTATGCATGAAGATAGATTGTCGAATTTATGACCTGAAAGGCCATAGAAGGAGTTTGCCTATAGCTGTTTCAGATTGGACATTGGAAAATGAAAATGGGTTCTTGTTGGTTGGTTGTGTTGAACGCTTGATTGTGCCTATCATGTTTAGAATTTTCTGTTGTGATTGGTTAAATTTAAAACGTCTTCAAGGATAAATTGTCAAAAGATTACCCGGTGTCGAAAGTTAAAAACCGTAATACATTTCTGATGTAAGATGTCTCGATCCAGTTTACCTCTTAACAAATTGGATTATGCATGTTGTCGTTATGTTTTTTGTATTTACTTGCCAAATTGGTTTGTTTTCTTCTATGCTGCACAAAAACGAGATTTCTTTTCTCTCAGTAATTAGCTTTGTGCTGTCTATCTTCTTCTTCTTCTTCTTATTATTATTAAGTTATAAATGTATTGACTTTGATACCATATCGTTGCTGATTAGTCATTTACTAGAGGACCAGGAGAACCATAGAGTAATAGAAGGACATTCTGGTGTTTACAAGAACTGAACTGTTTCTAGTTCTTTTCTGTTGCTTTCCAAAATTCAGAATGCATTTCTATGAAGAGTAATGTTATACAGTTGTGAGTGATATAAACAAAGTTCAACCCGTTCCCCTGCTATGTTATTTTTTTTTTTTGCATTTGATGGTGATGCCAATGCCACAATCTAAATGCCAAGACCAGATCAGGGTTGAAATTTCTGAAATCGGAGCTCCGGCCATAGGTATCATGCTAACTAGCCAAATAGGGGGAAGCAAGGACAGAGAAAGGAGAAGGGAAGGAAGCCTCTCTTTTCTACTTTCTAGTTTCTAGTCGTTGGGTAGCCTTTACGTGGTCCATACCCCAAAGCAAGGGCACTGTCTATGAGTTCATTACTGGTGATGCTTTAACAATAATAATAGCAAATCCTAATGCTACTTCCTCAAAAAACATAAGTCGAATGATGAATGTTCTGTCATGCAATGATCCTATATTTTCAGATGCATTGCTCCCCTAAATTGTGAAGATGTCAAGAGTACACGTAAAGAAATACGAAAGAAACAAATTCCATTCAATTTGAAACACTATTACCTGCCTGTATTCAACGCCATTTCATATTTTACAAAGTAGCAATGTACATCACCATTATCACAACTACACAATCTAGACTGTCAAAAACTAAAGAGTCGACTTGTTCTAAGCATCTAGATACAGAGACCATGGAAACCGTGACGCCAGAAATTTATCATTCAAAAGAACGAAAATTTGTAAGACTAGCGTGGCTCCCAGGGAAATTGATAAAAATCATCTTCCATATTAAAAAAATCCATTTCAGAAGTTGATAATGATGCTTCTTCACTCGTACCCGCGCGTTCAGCCTGCAAAAGAATTGACAAGTTATACATCGCTAGCACATAAAAAAGGTCAAAATGGTTGATAGATCTTCATGGTTACTGAAGAGTTTATCCATTCTCTGTCTCTCACAATATTGTATGCCTCAAGCAAAACAATATCTAATTATTTATTTGCTTATTCTTTATTCAACAAGTGGCAAATTAAGACAAGCTAAAGAGATATTAAATATCTTTGGGAAGAGTTTAAAGTCTAAATCTTGAAACAGCCCCGAACATAATTGCATCTCGTGAAGGATACCTGTGGTTTATCCAAAAAAGGAGATATTAACTGTTCCTTTTCATTTTTATACTAATTTACCTTTGCCTGACGATACTTCTCAAGCATGCGATGATATTGCTGTTGAGCATCTGGAGAGTCGACCATGGACAGCACCCGTGAAACAGCCTCTTTAATTTCTACATCTACTTTCTGTTTTCGGAACACCTTGAGAATATCTTCATCTTCATCTTCATTTTCATCAATTGTCTCCATCTCTTGTCGGAAACCTCGAAGACCAACTCCTTTTCTCCGCCATCGTAGCACAACCTTGTCCAAGATTCCAACAGCCCATATTACCTTGTAATGCTTCCTAACCTGGTAACCCCTCACATGAGCCTGCCCACATAAAATAGATATAATTGAGGTTGATAATAATGCTGTTGAAGTTCAAAGTATGCATGCCTACCAATAACTGTTCTTTTCTTTTAAAATCAACTTTATTCTTTTTTTAGAGTGTCTTTAAGTGCTAGTTATATATACAAAATAATAATAATAATATCCATACGGTCAAACTGTAAAGTTAACATTTATTACCTGAATCTTCACTACTTTTTGGCGCAATGCTAAGAAATCTTTGCGACCTTTCCAACCACGATATTTCTTCTGAATTGATAAGGCAGCTGAATTGTGTTCACGTGAGTTATGAAAGGCAAGTTTTGACAGAGCAGAAAGCTCTGGAATGTTACCAATGTTACCTGCATTGATACCATACCCATTTATACCATCAGCTGCTTCTCTCGCTCTCCGTTTTCTAAATGAATGTGAACGAAACGCAGATTGTATCCGTGCAGCTGCCTGAGTTACATTTCTGATAGCAGCCAAGGTATCTTTGAGTGAAACCTGATCCTCACTGGAAGCAAGGTTTTCATTGGAGACACTACTAACAGTTAAATCTGCTTGAAGCTCAGCAGAATTTCTAGATAGCTCACTCTCTTCCAGTGTAAGAGATGAGAGATGACTCGTTAGAGCTACCTCTGAAAGATATCCTGCCAATCCCTTATGCCCACTGCTGGCTGCAATAGATGCAGCAGTTTTGCCGATTGGATCTTGTGCACTTGGATCTGTCACTGCTCCAGCAGATGCACCAGAAGCTATAAGCGACGCAACCATTTTTTCCCTATATGGAATAACAAATACTTCAGTGAAACAACATCCAGAATACTTTAACATGGAACAGCTAATTTATAAAAAGGTTTCTAAAGAAACATGAATAGAAACAAGACCTTCATTGATTGTTCTAGATACATGATCATCAGTTCTGGCAGATGACTGGATGAACCCATTTTTTTTAATTGGAAATAAAACTTAGCATTTGCTTCGATTGACTAGGCATTATATACATGCTGAACAATGATTGAACAATCCATGCCAAATAATTTCTGATATGAGAAGCAATCCTGCTACATGTGGTTATTTTACCCTGCTGTCATAAAATTCTACATTTGACTACCTGACTAGGCATTACAGACAGTCAGCTAAATTAATCGCTACAGGGATTTAGAAATTCGAAATTTAGTGTATTTTGATAACATTTCAGCTGTGAACATCCTTTTCGGTTTTTTTATATCTGCCCTGCCGTCTGCATCTCTGAAAATTTAAAATTTCAGACTTGAACCTCTGAAGCACTCATCACATCTTTTGGCTTTCATTCAGTGCTTTATGCCTTCCAATAAGAGAGATCACATAATTTGTTCTCCTATTTTTCTCCTTATTTTTATCTTTCATTCCATTTGTATTCCCTTCTCCCAATGAAAAAGGAAATATTTATATACAGATTTTATCAAGCATATTTTGTTTGTTGAAACTTTTAAGTATGCATGTTTTCCCTATATTCATTAGCTATGTAAATAACCAATTCAACCCAAAAGCTTAAGCTGGTAAGTGATGGCCTTCAATGGTTTTATATCGTCTCTCTAACACACACCCTAACACAAAAGCCCTTTAGGCTTGAAATGTGGATATTGCACAGGCCTATTTTTTTTTGCTCTACCTTGTGTTGACTTAAGTGAGGAACAAACTCATGATCCCGTGATCACGAAAGCTTTGATACCATGATAAGCAACCATCTCACCTAACAGCTCAAGCTATTAAGTGATGGGTCTTCAATGATTTTATATATAATTTCTGTAATACACCCCTTCACGCAGGAGTCCTTTGGGCTTGAAGTGCGATATTGCACAAGCCCATTTTTTTTGTTCTACTTTGTGCTAACTTAATTCCCCTAGAAGGTGGGGGATGGTGACTATCGAACTCGTGACCCCGTAGTCACAGAGAATCTGATACCATGATAGCAAGCATCTCACCTAAAAACTCAAGCTATTAGGTAAGGCTACATTAATGGTTTTATATATTTCTCTAACAAACCTCCTCACACAAGAGCCCATTGGGCATGAACTGTGACAATGCATTGGGTCTCGTCTACCCATGCTAAGAAATTCCATAATATTTAAATGCTCTTTTTAATAGGGTGGAGGGTGGTGAGGATCGAACTCGTGATCACTTAGCCATGGATGCTCTGATACCATATAAAGAACTAATTCAACCTAAAAGCTTAAGCTGATAAGTGATGTATCTTCAATGGTTTTATATTATATCTCTCTAACAAGTTATAAGCCTTGTATAGCAATATTAACATCTTTCCCCAAAAATAAATAAATCAAACAACTTAATAGCAAGCACTTTAGAGTTTTCTATTACCTTCCAAAACGTGCAGCCCAATGAAGCGCAGTCCACCCATTGATGTCGCGGAAATTTATATTCACACCACAACTAAGAATAGGGTTCAAGGCCCACTCAAAACCCAACCCAGCAACCATGTGAATAATACCCTGCTCTTTCTTGGACAAAGAACAGCCTGTCTCTTCATCTCTTTCCTGGGATCTGCAAGAAAGCCACAACTGCAGCTTATCCTTTAGAAGCTCTTCAAGAAGCCAATCAATAGTACCAGATGAAGTTCCACTGCCAATTAGAAGAGCCTCTATTATATGGCTCCATGAATCATCATCAGCTTTGTGTTTTATGAGAGTAGCTCCAGGTTCTATGTTGTCATTGTTTATAGTTGACACGGAAAGGAGCATCTGCCCAAACCTAACAAGTAATAACAGTTCTTCTGGACTTCTAGAGGCTTCTTTTTCAAATGGAGTACAGTGGGTGCAACTATTGGTCTTATCCCGATACTCAAACTCTCTGACTTCGCTGCAGGACTCCCGGTTTCCAGAAGTAATGCACAGAGTAACCTTTCCAGGAAGGTGAGATGGAGCTTCACAACAGATTACACCATCCTGAATCATCTCAACAGGAACTTCAATATCACCAAACATACATGCCCAGGCAGAATCCGAGGGATGACAAAGGAAAGACCCAACAATGATTACCTATGCATAGAACATGGAGCTTTAGGAATCAAAATCAATAGTGTCATGTCATTTTAAGATAAAAATGTTGGGGGAAAGAAAAAAGAGACAAGATATATGCCCCAGCTTGTTAAGTCTTAAATGTCCAAAGCCACAAGCTTGAACAACATTTTGGTCACCTAGTTATTATAAATAGATTGGGCTTTATATACAATTGCATTATACCACAATAATATATAGATATCAACCATGTTAAGTACAGATTCTAAAGCTTTTTAGGAACCTGGTAAGCTACAAGCACCAATAATTATTAATCAAGAGAAAGAGTGCTTTAATCATTCAGAAGATACCCCTAACTTATGCAAAGAGTTAGCCTTGAAAGGCACAAACCTTTGTAGTCTCAGTGGCATAACCCCACTCTGGGGAGACTGTCTTAATATTAAATTTCTGTTTTTGTGCAACAGTCAAGCTTGAATCTGCATCCAGAGGTGCTCCAATTTGGCTTTGGTCAAACAATGTTGCATAGTAGTCAGAATTAGTTTCTTGTGTTTCCAACATAGAAGAATATGGACGAAATTTGACTCCACCAATGCCTTGAGGTAGTGAGAAAACATCTGGTAACATGGGATGAGTATCAGAGGTTGAAGAAACTCTTAGATATGCCAAAAAAATTGCCAAGTTAATCAGGTGAAATTAAATCATACAGTTTTCAGCATTATTACTGTTGAAGTTTAGCCAGTTATTGTTTTCCTGGTTGGCAACTGGTTCCCTTCTTGAAGAAGATGGTGAGTTTTCCTGCGTTAAGTATCGAACGTTTCAAGAGTTGCAGAAACACAAAAAAAGTCATTTGAACATCTGAGCAAACATAAGTTGCAAAATGATATAAATTATATCAGATATGTCCTAGAAATACTCACATTTCCAGCTGGCATATATGCATTTTTCTGTGGTAACTTGGCCGCAGATGAGGACTTACATGATTCCAGCATCTTTGTCCAAGATAAAGCCTCTTCATTTCCATCTGGGCAATCATGGTCTAGTAATTCATGATAACATTCACCACTATCACCTATAAGAAAATTACTTTGGCATCTATTACTTTCCTCTCTTCCCAGTTGATGTTTAATTATAATGAAGAGGAGAAAATAAACTACAAAGAGTTTCACTTGAAATTCAAAGTATGAAAGCAAAAAAGGTTTTGAATGGATGGATAACTAATTTATAATGAAAAACTTAGATCAGAGATAAAAAACCACAATAACTTCATAAGTAAACCTTCAGCCACTAATGTAGGAACAGCAAACGAGTTCCTGGAGCAGGGTGAGTGTCAGAAGGCCAATCGTGCAGTGTATGGGTCCTGAATGGGAAAGTCAGCTTTAAACAATCGGACTTCAGATATCAATGAAAAGCTCGTTTTGAGCCTTTTGTCCTTACAACCTGGTTTTACCCAATCGAGCCTGATTTTGAGCCCAAAATCCATTGTTTAATCATGTATTGAGGCCATTTTTTGTATTTTCCTTCATTTTTTCCTTAACTTTACTATTTTCCTTGTCTAATTAGGAGTCCAAATTAGGGTTGGCAGTCACCACCCGATGAGTACATTATGTTCTGTTCTTCTTAGCATCTTTTTGAATAATATCCCAGCCTTTTCTCTCAAACTTTTAGTATGCTTGTTATTATTAACAGCTTAGTTGATTGCTAACCTTGTGTTCACATCACTCGTCGGCCAAGTGCAATGTATCAAGACTGGAATACTTCTTCTATTTATTTTGTCAACCATAAAAGAAGAAACACATTTTTTCATATGTTGCATAACATTAGGAATTTTCCAATTAAACCTTTATAGCCTGTTCCACATTTTTATACAAGAAACCTAGTTATGAGGAATTGGTTTTGAATCAGATTTTTTTTATGGTTGCTTGACTCACAATAAGCATCCAAAACATTTTGAAGCTTCACATGAAACAACAAACATATAACAATCAGGTAATTAAGCTTCCGCAAGAGAAATTCACCAGAGAGTGGCACCAAACAAGAAGATTCATGGCTATGACGGCTGTGAATAAGTTAATCTAAACAAGCGTGACATCAATTTCACTCAACAATTACAGAAAACTAGCTGTGCAGGTCGAAGATGCCTCAATCATCAGTTAGATAAGTAGAAGACAAACGTCTATATTAAGGACTCATCACTCAGATATTTCACTGATTTAAAGTATGTATGCAGCTCATGTTTGTCTAAATTACCTTGTCTTCCATTATATCCATCATAAAATAGCCCATGTTCATCTGGTCCATGGAAAGTTGCAGATTTCTCTTGCATGTAGATCACCCCTTGATTGTTTTGAGGGTTTGAATCATGTGCAGTTTCGTGCTCATTGCAGAAGGGAGGAATTTCTTTAAGGCTGTCCTCGTTCAAACTTAATTGCTCCTCCAATCGGCGCAAAGCATGGGTAACCTCGAGTTCAGTTGAGGTTCCTGATTCTGTATCTGTTCCATCCAAGTGACCCATTCCATTGTTCCCAATTAATATATCAGAGGAAACTTCTACAGATCCAGTGGAGAAACTCTGATTAGGTTCATATGAATCACCAAGTATGGATGTTGTTGACCCAGGGCTCTGACTAAATGCAGAAGAGGAACCTGGTGACAATTGTATGCCAGGCCCAGAACTGGGCTTTCCCTGTAACACATGAGTGTAAACGGTAATGCAGAAATCAGCCGGGCTCACAATCCTATTGCTATGCACAGGGTGAATAACAAAATATGATCAAATAATTGCCATCCAGGAAACCAAATATGATTCATAAGAAGATTTAAGTATATCTTCACTTGAGGCCTTAAGCCATCAAAAAAATAAATTAATTAGCGAAGAAAAACAACAGGACATTGCAAATCTTAGGAATAATCATTGACTTTTTTTTATTCTTGAATCTGTTGTCCTTATCTTGGAGAATTAAATACCAAAGCTTCACAAGTAAGAAAATGGTTATCCAAGGGGCATCTGGTCTCAAAATTAGGATTTAGCAGATCAGATGTAGACAACTGTATAGGCAAGGTTCTGGTTGGTAGCTCAGCAGAAAAAGAAGTTCATATCTAAGGTAGCATACATACAAGGACATTTACAAGGGAGTTTTAAAAATAGAAAACAAGGGAGGTCAGAAAAAAAATCTACAGTTACAATATGGTAGTGATATTAATGGTCAATAAAAGAAAAAATTCAACAAACCAAAGAACAAGAAAATATAAATAGCTCATGGACTATTACAGGAGTCCTTTACATAAAGTAAATATAAAAGAACATGAAAACAGGGTTGAAATTTCAAAAAAAGGAGGTATGTGAACAAAATTATTTTAGTTTCTCAAAAGAAAAGAGAAAAGGGAAGAAGTGTGTAAAATAACTAATCAGAAACAGGTTAGCACAGTGAACTATCTTGAGCAAAAGGACTCCTGTCCCCAGTTTTTCTGGAGGGACACTACACACAAGCTCCAAGGACAATTATTATATTTATCTGAAATCATGTTCTGGAGACTCACCTCATTTGTTTCTCTGTAATGCACAAGAACAATATGCTCATATGCCCTGTCATGAAACAAAAGTAAATGAATGATTATGAACAACTGCTACAACAACATATAAACGAACATATCTCAATAATAGTGAAGTATATTGAAGGTTGGTTGTATTTTAAAGTCTAGATAATTTAATCTTGGTAATTTATTTAACATTTAGTTACCATTAAATAACCATCTCACGAGCTAGAGCTATTAAGTGAAGGCCACTTGATAAGACACAGGTCCACCTATCTATGTTAATAAATTCCAGAGTTAATTAGAAAAATGAAAACTTGTGACCACTTGTTCACTGGATCTGATATCAACTTAAAGTTGAGGTATTAAGTGTGCCACACAAGGGTTACATTTATAATAATAAGATATATGAGCTTGGGCCCTATTTACATGATATGGGACAAACTAACACAACTTATTATATACATTATAACATCAGTATGAGCTTTTACCAAAATTTGCATGTTTATATGTTCAATTTAAAGGATACAACATGTAGTGATAAGCAAAAAAGGTTGAGGGATATGCAGATAGCTGATAGTTAAATTTTACTCACGGATCCAACATCCAATAGCTCCGCCTTTGGAAAGTAGGGTTCTGCTCTCCATGTGCATAGTAACAATTTAAGGCTTCAACATTTCCAACCTAGTCATGCAGATTAATATGACCATTCACATTTAGGAAACCAATATCCATTGCAAAACAAATGCTGTCCCAAAGTCATAAATATAGCAACAATATTTTGAAAATATGCTAAAAAAGTACCACTTAACAGAAATAAATTATATCTACCAGATAAAAAGGGTAATTGATAGACAACTAAATTATTTTTTTCCCACAAGCATCTAATGTGCAGAGATGGACTAGGAAATAAAAATGATAATGAAACTTCGATTGAGGATTTTAAAATATTTTTCAATAATACTTTCTGTCACCACTCAACATGTTTGAGACATCCATCGAAGTTTAAATATATCCTTTCTAACAATTCAGAAGCAGTAACAATTTTCCCCCTCTTACATATACATTTATGGACTGCATTTCCACAACTGAGACCCCCTCTTAGATACTTGCTAATAAGCTAATGAGTTTTCCTTTTAAATGGAGGGCTAACAAGCATTACAACATAGACACTTGTAATGCACCTTAAGCCGTTCGTGTGCTTCTCCCACAGTTCTTCCATCTCTTTTCTTCCGCCAGCTATGACCATCTCGACGGAAGAAGCGCAAGACTCTTTTATTAAACAGAAACAGGGATCCACCTGTTAAGAATATCAATTGATAATGTTACCAGTCAGCAATTTATAGTCATTCTCAAGAAACAAAAAAGAACAGCAAAAGGCAGTCATTTTTTAATTCTAATTATCAATTCAATAAAGAGAAAACAGATGTTACTGGTTGGCTGTTGCGGTGGTTCATGGGTGAACTGGTACTTTTCATGATTCTTTAAAATGTACATCACTTCTGCAGGCTTCAGCCATCTCGTTTGAGCTTCTTGATACAGATCTTCAATATCGTATTCATAACCTGGAACCACAATGATAAACAAGACAAATAATTTATAATCCTTCCTATCACTTTTTTTCTCTCCCTAATTAGAATGTAAGACTTTGTTGAGATGGGGATAGTTGAAGAAAAGAATGAATCCTCTTCCTGCATTAACGAGAACTGCACGATGTAACTAATAACTTAACTTTTTCTTCTCTATACTGCACCAACCAATTATTCCAATATTCGATATCACTTGGAAGCAGAATGTTAATGGAGCAAAATAATTTAGTACATTAAATCAAATTGAAACATGTCCTTCCATTCTAAAGCATGTTACAAAGAATTTACTAAAATGCTTTATTATCAGTGCGAGTATTTGATTTTAAATGAAGTCATAATAATGCATAACAGATTCTAAAACCCAAATGGTCCCTAAAAGTATCTATCTCATAAAAGGTACACAGAATCACAAAGCCCCAAGTGATGTGGTTCACTTCAACTACCTACTCCAGAATTCAAACCAAGTCAAATTCAATTCATTATACGTATCAAAATCAAAACATCCCAATTTTCCAATTGAATAAATAAAAAATATTATTAGTATTAAGGGAAAATAAAAAAGTAAACAAGTTCACCAGATGTCATGGTATTGAATCAGGAGAATGAAAAGCTAGAAGTAGAACTGGACAGATTGCAGACAGAGCATTTTTGAAACCGGAGAGGCTGATAGATTTGCTGCGTTGCGCTCTACAAGACTATAATTACTGAAACCAAGAAGAAGAAGAAAACGAGAAAAGAGTGAGCTGATTCAGCACAAAGACAAAGCTCGAAAACCGAAGAATGGATCAGAGAACAGAAATTGCAAAAGCAGAAAGCTAATACTTACAGTTGGATTTGGTTGGGGTTCAGAATTGAGATTAAGATTAAGGTTAAGGTTAAGGCGGTTTTATTAAACAACTTGGCGACGACGACCAAAGACTAAGAGTTGTTGTAAGAAAATTTACTTCAGATTTTAGATTACCATGTTGTATTGTTCTTGTTTTGCTCTTTCCCACGTTTTTTTTATGACTTCACCATTTTAATTTACTTGGAATTGGAGTTATAAAAAAAGACTTACGAGTGTTGTAGCAACTAACAAGTTTGATTTTTCTAAGCAGCACACACAAGTAACACAACCGGATGCTCATTTTATATATATATATATATATATATATATATATATATATATATATAGGCAGGATCCTTTGACACCGGTGTCAAGTTTAAAATTTGACACCTCATATGAGAGCCATATATATATATGAGGTAGGATCCTTTGACACTAGTGTCAAATTTAAAGTTTGACACCTCATCTGAGAGCCGTTGGATCAAAAAAGATCAATGATATCACATGCTTACAAATCCGAGTCGTTGATCTTTTTTGATCCAATGGCTCTCATATGAGGTGTCAAATTTTAAACTTGACACCGGTGTCAAATGATCTTACCTATATATATATATATATAGGATCCTACCTCTATATATATATATATATATATATATATATATATATATAGGTAAGATCATTTGACAGCGGTGTCAAAATTCAATTTTGACATCTTAATATATATATATATATATATATATATATATATATATATATATATATGGAAAAGTATCTCTCCAAACAAACACAGGCTTATCGTCAAATGTCTCTTCTATTACGAAGACCGCCGGGTCGTGAAGTTTATCTGGGAGATATTTTTTATTTGCATTCGCGTCTTTTGAAAAGAGACGCTAAATTAAGTTCTCAGTTAGGTGAAGGAAGTATGACTGCTTTACCAATAGTTGAGACCCAATCGGGGGATGTTTCAGCTTATATTCCCACTAATGTAATTTCTATTACAGATGGCCAAATATTTTTATCCGCAAATCTCTTTAATGCTGGAATAAGACCTGCTATTAATGTGGGTATTTCTGTTTTGGATATAAAGTTATATCCAGTGAGCTCAAAATAACGTCGTTTTGGGTTATAAGATTAAAATATTATAATGATAAAGACTAACATAACCCTGCAATATATTAGAATTACAAAAACACCTTAATTTCCGTCTCAAAATGACGTCGTTTTGGGCTCACCGGAGATAATTTTATCTCCAGTGACTTGAGATATCCTTTACCTATATATATATATATATATATATATATATATATATATATATATATATATATATATATATATGGACTTATCGTTTCTTAAGCTGCTTGATACAATGTTATCTCCGGCTATTAAATCATAACCGTACAAAGATCGATCAATGGTGATAAAGGAAGAGAGAGAAAAATTAAATCATAACCATTCAAAGGTGAATCAATAAATATAAGGAAATAAATAAACAAAACGACGTAGTTTTGGGATGGCCGGAGATAAACCTCAAGCAGCTTGAGAAATGTTTTTCCCTATATATATATATATATATATATATGACAGATTATATTTACAAACTTTTTTTGTTTACAAACTCTTGCAAATTACATTTTCTTCTTCCGGGAGAACACCCGGAAGAAAATAGTATAATTTGTCAAAAAAATTTGTAAACGAATCTTTCCCCATATATATATATATAAATTACTTTTATCGACATTATTTATATTACTATTAACTGAATTTTATCATTTGTTTTATTTATTTATGATTTTCGTTTTTAATTATCGGTTTAAATATTCAAATATAAAATAAAGTCTTTATTACACAGTGAATATTTTAAATAAATATGAAAAGGATAAAATTTAATTCCTACTATTTAATTGTATTTTTACTTTTTATTTGAATATTTTTTCTTATTTTGTATCTTATTGTATGTAAATTAGAAAATAGGTAATGTCAATTAATATATTAGTTTAAATAATATAATAGCTTCTTATATAAAAAAAATTGTAGAATGTACTTAGAAACAATTTGAAGCTCTAAATAAGTCTCTGCTTTTACGTTAAAACAAAAGAATGTAAAAGTTTTTATTATTCGTTAATAATTAAAAAATTTAGAGTTCGATGTGTAGATATCGATTTAAAGGAAACTTATAGGGATAAATCTTTGAATTGTTTAATATGATTGTTTGGGAAGATTCGCTACTTAAAAATTAGAGTAATTTCTTAATTATTATACATGAGTAACTATTGAAAAATGCTTTTTGATTTTGTTTTTTTGGTTACAAATGATTAGCTATTTTTTAAAATGAATCACGGTTTATGTGTAAAAATATTTAAATTTTGAAAAATAAAAAAAAATGCAAATAGTTTTAATTAATCTTTATAAGATTATTCACTTTTACTTATGTTTTAGCAATAACACTAGGAGGAGGAATTTACCTGCCTGAGATGATACGTAAGTACTCAGAAAATGCCTAATATAATAATTGCGTGTGGAAATTTCGTTACAATTCAGCTCTAAAACGTAAATTTTGCTTTAGTTGGTAGTGAAAAGTTTTTTTAATTCTATAGCATTTCAGTCACATGCAATTGTCTCTTGTCTTGATTCTTCTTTTGTTTTTAACTCTATACCTCACTCACTTGCGACTTGCAACTTGCAACTTGCAATTGCTTTTATAAATCAATTTTTCCAATTTCCTTACTTTTGTTTATGTTAGCATACTTTAGGATTTAATTTAACTGAAAAATATAATAATTTATCACGGTACTTAAATAATTGTTTTCTTTCTACGAATAAATAATAATTTATTGAAATTGATAAAAGTTAAACATGTTGTGTTATAATAAACTCTATTTTTCGATTAGGCTATTTTCAATAAGCATAACATATTAATATATCATCTTTGCAAGATCTGGACGTTATTGAACACGAGACAAGATTCTCTGTGAATGAGTTTTCAAGATAGAGTCTAAGTTGACATTAATCCTGTTGGGTTTGCTCTTTTACTAAAGTCCAAATGAGTTATTAGTATGAGAAGAGCCCAAGGAACCTAGAGCCCAATGAGCTAGGGTTTCTTGGAACCCATATAAATAGTACCTCTTAAGTCATCAGCTTAAAAAAGGTCTTCTTTGTGAGAAAGAGGCAAGCTCTGAATCTAATCAGTGCCCACACACTTCCCCTTCCTCCTCGAGAGATAGTTTGGAAGATCTGCCACAGTCCAGCTACAAGGAGGTTGTTCGTGCTGCGGCGCTGAGGTGAGCTGTTCGTGAAGAGGAATCCTACAAGGAAAGATTCTACACGAGACCTGCGCACCGAGAGGTAATTGTGAAACAAGGATGATTTGGTAAGCATACCAATGTACTAGGTCCTAAACCGCTTCCGCATAAATCTAAGATTTCCTACAATTGGTATCAGAGCCTTGGCTGTACATTGGTATGTGAATCTAGTTTCACTATTCATGTAATTAGTTTTGCTTCTTGAAATGTGGCACCTAGGGTTCTAGGATTATGGTATGAATCTAGCATGTGCATTTTATAATTCATTTTCATAAAAGTTTAAATTTTAATCGATAAAAATGCTTTAATCCATGGTTAGGGTCTCTCGTGTATTTCTCGATTTGTAACAAGGAGGCTAATCCCATATGATTAGGTTTCCTCCTTGCTGTTTTTATTTATTTTCGGAATTTCTGTGTATTTTTCCAATATTTTGTAAAAGTTCAAGATCGAGAAACCGCGAGTAAGATGCGCAGTCAGTACTGTCGGAGACTTTTAGAGGACTTCCCGATCTCGGAATGGGGCGATCTATATATGGTTGGAAAGATGACGGAAAGACGAACGCAACGGTGGGTGGATCGTCGCCATCGGAGCCTTCACGCTCCTCCACGCGCCTCCACAAGCGTATGAGAGTGGCCGCCACTCTCCGGAAAAGAATGGGAGAGTGAGGGAGCGTCCGGCCACCTTTTTGGGTGATTCCGGCGGCGGTGCACTCGTCTCTACGTGGCGGTCATTCCCCTGGAGTTTCAGCTTGATTTGACTTCGGGTGACGGCGCGGCAGACCTGACGGCTAGGGTTTCTCTTTCGCGTCCTAGGGTTTCTCGCCAAAGGATTGGGTCTTTGGACTTTTGGGCCCATGAAACCCTAAAAGGGCTTGAGACAGATACTATGGGCTAGGCGAAAGTCGAATTCCAAAGTTGTATTATTTTATTTTATTTTATTTTCTTTAAAATAGGAAGGCCACGGATTAAAGTAATTATGATTTATTATTTAATGCTTTTATTGAATGAAATGAATTATATGTGCGATTAACATGATATTTGCGATAACATGTCATATAGGATATGAAGGTGCCATATTGCTGCATGATCACATGTCATACGTGCATATTTAATATTATGTCATTACCGACTAGTATGATAGTTTATGCGCGTAGTTTTGATTTTAAATATTCCGGTAAAATAAAATTATGATTATTATGATTTTGGAAACAAAATCTAGATTAATGGTTATATTAATTTCGAAAATTAATTTAATTATTATGATTTTGGTAAAATCTAGAATAATCAAATTGATTAATTTTGGAGTTTAAAATCAAGACAAGTAGTAAGAAAATTTCCTAAGAGAATTTTTTTATTTTGCGAGTAATTTATGGGTCTACTAAAATGGTCATGTGTTAAACACACGCTGCATACCACAATCATGTATCATGATTGTGTGAAGCACACGCTGCCTATCATGACCGGATTTTAGGACCTTAATGATTTCAAAATTCAGATAAGTTAAGTGATGCACGTTCATCGGCGCTCTTGCTTACATAGTTTTTGAAATCAAATAAAGGATACTCTCAATTAAATAATTCTTGGAAATTGGAAAATATTGCTTATGTTGAATGGAAGGAGATTTAAATTAAGAAATTAATTTAACCTTCCAACGCATTATAAAGACCATTAATAAAATAATAATGTGAAGTCTCATCGAATAAGCATGATTGGATTTTATTAGATTGGACCTAAATAATTATGGGAGGAGATTTAGATTAAGAAATTAATTTAACCTTCAGGCGCTTTGTGGGCCTATCAATAAAATAATCATGTGAGACCCCAACGGATTAGCATGA